GTTTTGGAACAACTTGGTGGGAAACGGTGGCATATTTTAGAATGGTTGTAGTTATCGGGTGCCAACTTCAAGACTTCATTCCAAAGCGAAATTCACGTGTTTTTCATAATAAGAAAATCCCAGTCAAAGTCACACCATTCGAATCCCCGTGAAAAATGCTACCTACCCATATGAAAATCACCTCATGGAGCTTTCTATGACCTTTCTCAGTTTTCCCCGGCTTTCTACGATCAATCGACCTCCTAAGTAGTTATCCCACCGAGGTGTCAGGGCATAGTATTGATCAGTCCCACTAATGTCAATTACCATTGTGGTCTCTTCTGTTCACTATTTTGCAGAACAGATCAATTAGAACTGCCGTTGTCAAAAACTTTCCATATTTTAAAATTCCAATTTTCACAGATTTGTAAGCCGGAACTAGGGAGCAATGATAATACAAAATGCCCCCAAACAGCGCCGAGAAGAGCTGCTTGCCAATGCTTACCAATTCTTCTAATCTGATGTTTCCACAAGCGCTATCTTTTGGTAGAATTGTAGTCGGTCTCTTAAGCTTCTTGGCCGATTAAGCCTTAAGATTCTGAATTTCCACCATTGATAACTCTAAGGCGATTAAATCATGTCGGATGAAACAAGCGCACGAGATAACTCCAAAGTTTGGCCGTCATCAGTCCACTTTACTATATTGTACGGTAACGGTCACTTTTCCCATTTCAAGTCTGTAATTGTAGGAGCAGTACGCGCTGAAGTGACGGATACACTAGCAAAGTGACTACAGTGATCCGATGACGTTCAATAGCATAATATACCATTCTTTTCAGATGAAAGAACTCCTGGTAGTTGTTGCCGTATTCGCACTCAGTTACGCTCAGGATGGCGGCAACAGTGAGTGCAATCACCCTGTACATTTCTCGGTTAAATTCCACTAAACTGATCGAAAGGTGATAAAGAGGCCAACGTAATTCTATTTCCCGTAATATATGCCGCAAATTTGAAAGGTGCAGTCTACGCTGATCGCATGGGTGGAGTCCGTCACGCTCCGCTCTGGCGCGCTATTCCTTCTAGGTTATGAAGAGGCAGCTTTCTGAGGAAGGCAGTGGTAGGTTTCCACGATATCAATGTGGAGCGTGCCATTCGAATGATAACGCTCAGTGTTAGACCACTGCCTTACCACAATGATTTACTACCACCATTTACTTACTAATATTAATTCATTCGTACAAACCGCGGGATATTTCACTTTCTCAATGAATTTCGTTATACTATGAAAATCTGCGGCCGATCTATGAATTGAATTTGGTTGGACATCATTCTATGACTTACTTCTACAGTATGCTTCAGAATGTAACTACCCAGCCACTGGCAGCGAAACGCTGCAGAATGCTGTACCAATCAAGACGTTCCACACTTCCGGATTGGATTTTGTCAGGTGATTTCAGAACATTTTCAGCGACAGCAAGTTCACTTGTGAGAACGTCAGATGACAAGCGTATATGCAAAAAGGCTCGCAACCTATTGAACTG